CTCACCTGGGCAGCGGCGCTTAAGCCGGCGTAGCCACCGCCCTGGTAGCCTCTGAGCTGCCTGGCGGCCGCGGTCACCGCCCGGGTGCAAATCATGGAGGCGGCCATGTTGTTCACCCCTCCTTGCTTTCCAGCCCCCTCGGCTCTGGAGAGCGCCCGAGTTCGCAACCGCGCTTGCGCATAAAATGTACCCAACGGAGGGCGGGACGGGGGGAAATGCGAGCCGGCAGGAATGTGAAGCTTGCACTTGGAAAAACGGGTTCCTCGCGCCGAACCGCTTGCTCGGCTTTGCGTGCCTATAAAGCTTTGAAATGTTTTCCTTCGGCATAAAAGTGACAAGGCATGGATAGGATCGTTGTGCTGAATGTTTTAAGCTGGGCGAGAGAGTTCAAGCGCCGCTCTAGCTACTCAACGCCGTCATTGGTGGTCATACCACCCAGAGCCTCCAGGGGGCGCTGTCTCTCCCAGGGGCTTCCTCCCCTTCCATTCCGAGCGGGCCTTTGTTCCTTCCCACCGTTTCGTTCTCACCGGCGGGCGGGGCTTCCTCCGGCCCCGCCCCCACCCCTCCCGCCGAGGTCGGGCATGGCGGCGCTCGGAGCTGGAGAGCGGAACAGCACCCGGGACCGGCTTCTGGCGGCGCTGGAGGATCTGGAGCTCCTGGCCAGGTAAGTATCCCCCCCTCATCTCGGTGCGGGGCTGCTGGCGTGGCCCAACCCCCGAGGGAAAGGTGGTGGAGTCACGGGGGGGGAGAGGGTCCCGCCCGGGGGCCCCAAACGGTCGCTGGAGGAAACCCCCCACCCGACCCACAAAGGTGGTTGCATTTCAGCTCTATAGCCGCTGGCAGGTCGTACGAAGGGGGGGGCGGCGTCAGTAGCCTCTCCGGGGCCGTAAATTACCGACCCCTGTTGTAAACAGGCCGTAAATGTGAGGTTATATAAAACGCATGGTGGTATTCAGGTAGTGAGTAATGCGTAGTTCTTACTGCGTTGTTATTTATGCAGGGGCAGGGGCGGCCTTTTTAAAGCTTTCTTTTTAGAGTAGAGAGAGCTCCGAGACTAGCCCAGGTGCCAGAGCGGCTCCAGAAAGTGACCTTTTTCAAAGAAGGCATGTGTAAGAACAGTAAAAACGAATGGAAAGATTTTGTGCTTAAAGGAGAGGAATATTGTACGTGTGGTCTGGCTTCTTAACAGAAAGGCCTCACAAACAGACTTCCAGTTTTGCTCCTCGTGACAAGAAAGGGGCACCGCTGGTCTCTCAGGGAGGACTCGTGCCTCCCGCCGCCCCCCCCCCTCAGTGGAGCCCGTCCGGCCCCCCCCCCCCGTGGCCTCAGTACCTAAGCAGGTGTCATTAGTATAGGGCTCTTGGTCCTTCCCTCCCCTTCCCCCCCCCTTTGAGCCCACTGGGATTTCGTTAAAGGTAGAAAGGCAGACGCAGGGAGGACAGGACAAGATTTTCTTTTGTTTCCTTGCTTGTGTGCCTGAAGAGAGTTTCTTCTTGAGAACAGGCTTTAGATCAGCGTCTGGTAACAGCAAGGGACTGGACGAGGGTGAAAAAACTGAAGCTTCATCAAGAGAAGACGGAGGTGCTCCTGATCAGTCAAAATGCAGATGAAGGAATAGGGTCCTGGGTGGGGCTATACCCCTGAAAACACAGGTGCACAGCTTGGGTGTGCACCTAGATTCATCTCTGAGGCCTGGGTGCCCAGGTTTTGGAGATGGCCAGGGGTGCATTTCCACAATTAAAACTAGTGTGCCTGTTCCTGGAGAGCTCTGATCTGGCCCTAGTGACAGGTGACTTTAGTTACATCCCAGCTGAATTACTGTAATACACTCTGTGTGGGATTCCTTTGGATAGTGCCCAGAACCAAAATGTGGGAACCAGATTGCTGATAGTCTGATCACAGGGACCACATGACAACCCCTCCCCCTTACAGCAGCTCTACTGCCTGCCAATCCATTTCTAGACACAATTCAAAGTGCTAGTTCTAACCTACAAAGCCCTAAATGGCCTGGGCCCAAGCTATCTCAAAGACCGCATCTCTCCTTATGAGCCTGCTCGGGTGTTAAGGTCATCAGGAGAGGCCATTCTCTTGGCCAAACCACCTTCACAGGATTGTCTGATGGGGACACAGGAAAGGGTCTTCTCTGTTGCTGCTCCCAGACTCTGGAATCTCCCTCCCATATGGCTCGATTTTTGCTGTCGTTTCGCAAGCTGGCAAACACCTTTTTCTTTTCCTTATTGTGTGGCAGTCTGAGAAGGATTTTGTGCTCTGTTGCTTTTAAATGTGTTTTAGTACTGTATTGACTTTACCATTTTAATGATATGTATTTAATTCTTTTTTAAATATTTGTACACTTTCTGTTTTTAGTTTTTGTATATTGTCCTTTTAATGAAGTGAGCCACTTTGGGTCCTTTTGAGGAGAAAGGTGGAGTAAAATATTTTAAATAAATACATACATAATAGATAATTTCTCCTTAGGCAAACTTTCCCTGAGTGACTGGCTACCTGCCTGGGGTTTTTTAATGGGTTGTTGTGCCTTATTGCTTTGAATGTGTTTTTAGTATTGCTTTTGTTTAATGTTCTTAGAGTAGTATTGGTTTTTTAATCCTTTATTTGTATGCTTACTGTTTTTAAGCTTTAAATATTCTAATAGTGTAAGCCACCTTGGGTCCTTTTTAAGGGGGGTAAAAGTTAATTAATTAAACTTGACACCAATTCTTGCTGGATTTAGGGCCAATCACTCTTTCTTAGCCTAAAAGGGTTGTCTTACAGTTTCCCAAATTAAATTTCATTGGGAAAGGATGTTTAAAGGCAATGTATGTATTTAATCTGAATAATGTATAAATATAAGCTAAGTAAATCACATATTTGCTAATTATTCAAATCAAATGGTGTGGTGGGAGGAAGGTTAGACAGCACACCCTCTCTCCTCACAGCTTTTTAAATTCCACATTTGTCGTCCTTATGTTCCCTAGTCAGCATCTTTCAGTAGTGAGGAATAATAATGAGTTTTATAGTTCAACATTTGGAAAGTTACATGCTTCCCATTACTGATTTAACAACTAGGAGCAAAAATACCAGTTTAAACAAGAATTGCTATATTTATTTTACATGGGACATACTTCTATTAACTCGTCACAGTAGGCATTAACATATTTTATTCCTTTATTTTCCATTTAAAAATTCTCACTTCTATCTGAAAGAGAGAATAAATGTTAAAAGACTTGGAAAATTATATTTGCACACATTTAAATAGTTGCTTTATTTCCAATCGGTATGGGTAAATTGCTTCTTTTCTGTGACAAAACATATAGACCAACTTTTATTACTTACTCATGCCAGGATAAGTAAGTAGCAGTGATTTATATTTGTTTTCCACCTTAAGATGCAAGAAAGAGGATTCTGGCCTAGCTGTAATTATCATAATTGAATGTGAGCAGTGGGAGACAAGAATGGACTTAATACTGGTGTGAGAACATTCCTGTGTTTCTGAAAGCTGTGATGTCTAAAGTTTGCTTGCAGTGTGGAATTTAAAGATGTAATTCCATTCTCAGAAACTACAGCTTTCTCTTCCTCTCTTTTTTCCACCTGACATCTTTGCTAAGGGAACTGATTGAAATGTTGGCAGTTTCAAGAAACCAGAAACTTGCACAAGCTGGAGAGGAGAGCCAGGTAAACAAACATTTAAAATACTGTAAAAAAATCAAAGCAGTTCAGGCTTTTATTCTTTATATAACATCTAAATCATCTATGAAAATAGAATGTTGGCCTTAATAAATCAGTCTTTGTGTGAGCCATCAGGGGTCTTATGAACTTTTCATGGTATTCTTGTCTTTTTGCACCCTTTTCTTTTCCTAGCCTTTATCCATTTGTATCATGTCTTTTAGACTGTATTTTAAGGCCAAAAAAAGAAAGAAAAAGGTTTCAGGAAACTATCCCAAAACTGATAGCCAGTCCCATTCATTTTTTCTTTTAATAATCCCACTGACATATAACTATATTTTTGGACAGATCCTGGATTTGTTGATTCAAAGGGATAAAGAGTTCCAGGAATTAATGAAATTGGCTGTTGATCAAGGTAAAATCCACCATGAAATGCAGCTATTGGAAAAAGTGGTAGTGAAGAGAGACAGTGATATTCAGCAGCTTCAAAAGCAACTGAAAGAAGCTGAGCACATACTGGTGAGTGTGTTGGTAAAATGTTTGCATGCTTACAGGCATTCATGTCCATGAAGTGAGCCATGTACAGAAAATGAACATGTTTATTTAATGGTTTTCATTTTTCACTCACATTTGTATATGCAACAAATTAGTCTGCTGAAAGTCTTCCCCTTCTGACGTCTGTCCCAGTTCCTATCTTGTGGGCAATTTATTGCCTTCCAGATGTTGCTGGACTGCAGTTCCCAATATTTCTCACCTTTGGCTGGGCTAATTAGGGCTGGTGGAGATTGCACTTGAAAAGTCTTTTGCTTCTCTTCCTGTGACTTGGGTTTTCTCACTTCTGTGAGTCCCCTCATTTAGCTGAACATGTGTTTCTCTTTCCTTTTGACCCCCAGTCTTCATTTCTACCCTTTCGTTGTTTTTCTCATTTTTGCATGTTGTCTTTCTGCTGGGGTTAGTTTCCTATATATCTACGTCTTGAGTGAACCTCTAGGCTGGGCCAGAACTTGGAAAGTTTATTTTGAAATTTAAAGGTAGAGCTTGAAAGTAAGGAAGTGATTTCTTTGCATTGGTAAGTGTAACTTCATTACATTGCAGTTGTAAACTAGTGAGTGAGAACTTTTGTCCTTTAAAAAAGTAACTGGACTTAGACAGGACATTGGCTGCAACCATTGTGCCTGCAAACTGCACATACTTCTGTGGTCTTTAAGAATATAGTTAAAATTATTCTTTGAAAAGCTAAGTCGCTGTGAGTAATTAAAAATAAAGTAACAATTTACATTGTGGCAATTTACACCATTCCACTTACACTGGCATAAATTACTGGCAGGCTTCTAGTATCAATTAAATGTTCTTGTTATCATGGAGAATTTCTAGTTTAGCTGGGATTACCTGGGCAAACCCTTGTATTAAAGTCATTTTAGTTATAAATAGGTTTTAGAGAGTCCAGCTTATTGAACCTCTGGTTACAGATCAGTTCACCAGTAAATACCATTTTATACTTAGGCCACAGCTGTCTATCAAGCCAAAGAAAAACTCAAGTCAGTAGAAAAAGCAAGAAAGGGTAAGTTACGCATTTTGACTATATTTATGGAAGTGTTAAAGTCTGTTTCAACACTAATTTATACTGGAGAGGGGAAATTCTCCCCACTTTCAAAACCCAGCTGTTGAATTGGCTGTAGCAGTGGCATTCTCAAGCTTTGTTTCCAAGGGCAATGGCATCCTTCTGGAGGAGTGGACTCACCGAATCCCTACTGATTCAGTGAGGCTACTCTAGTTGCAAACTACTTTTAGCCATTGTTTTAATCGGTCTTGAATAGTAGTGCCTTTATTGACAGGCATGTGGGTTGCCCATTTGTAGTGAGCACAAGAGCTTTGTTTGATTTGTGTGGAAAAGTAGAAGAAACCAGTTTAAGAAATAGGGAGGCACAATACAATTTGGAAACTTCAAGACATCTCATGCTATTGTAATGTCAGAAAATGTGATCCTTAAAGAAATAGCATATAAATGTAGCGGCTCATAATGTAAACAAGTCTTAAGAATCAAGGCAGAAGAAATGAAGGAGAATTGTGAGTTGGCAAATGAAAAATCATTCTTCTGTTGTTATAGCTCTTACATTTCTTTCCTGGCTTGACACTGTTACTGGATCTTTTATTCCCAGTTAACTCTTGTCCTTATCTCATCTATTTTTGTCTTTGCAGGAGCAATTTCATCAGAAGAAATAATTAAATATGCTCACAGAATTAGTGCTAGCAATGCTGTTTGTGCTCCTCTCACATGGGTGCCAGGTGAGTAACAAGTTTTACAACGATATATTTCTATCACAATTTCACTGATAGTTGGTTATTTAAGTGCTGCATCTCTGGCAGTTAAAAGTATATACATATTTGTACTATTTTTTGTTAAATTTCAGAGAAATGCTGTAAAATACATAATGTCTTAGATATGTATGGTTTGTACGTAGTACTGTTTAAACAGCCATTAAAAGGGAAGGCTGTTGAGGGATCATATGTTAACGTGCACACAAACTGTTTCAGTTTTGCTAGTAAAGCTATATTTTTAAGGTGATCCAAGGAGGCCATACCCAACAGATCTAGAAATGAGGAGTGGTCTGCTGGGTCAGATGAACAATCCATCAGCAAATGGAGTCAATGGACACTTACCAGGAGATGCACTTGCAGCAGGCAGATTACCAGGTATTGAAAAATTATGTTGACTGGATAGATCAGTGGGGTTGGAGCACCTGACTCTAGAGCTAAGGCCTGGGAGCTTAGTTCCCTGCTGGGTCTTCTAGGAGAAGAGGCAGCCTGTGCAGCCTTGGGCAAGCTGCACAGAAAGGAGAGCATCTAATAGACTTTTAAAACACATTGGATTCAGCATAAGTTGGAATTGACTTGACCACACATTATTATTAATAGTAATTTGAAAATAAGGAAAGATGGAACATCTCCATTGAATAGTGGTGATTGAATGAACCAAATGATTGATAACGAAGCATTGGAGGAATAATGTTAGATAGGCTTAGCGTGGAAGAATATAGAGTGGTGCCCCGCATAGCGACGATAATCTGTGCAGTAAAAATCGCTGCAAAGCGATTTCGTCACTATGCGAACATTAAAACCCGTTTAATGCGTTCCTATGAGCAAAAAAATCACCTTTAAGCGAAAATCCTCCATACGGTGGCCATTTTCGCTGCCCGGTAAGTGAGGAATCAGAGTAAAAACAGCGGGCGGCCATTTTTTTACCCGGTGGCCATTTTGGAACCACCAATCAGCTGTTGGAAAACCATTGCTATGTGAAGATCAGTATGCGAAACAGGGTACCGATCACCGCAAAGCGATATTTTCCCACTAAAAACATAGCAATGCGATTGCAAAAAAAGATCACAAAAAATTGTCGCTATGCGAATTCGTCATTAAACGGGCCACCCGTTAAGCGAGGCACCACTGTACATGTATTAGAATAGATTAGGAGAACAAAAATGTATTTGATTTTAATTTTCTTAATTGTTCTCTAGAAAGAAAGTCAGTACTAAAAGAATTTCTGCTCTTGATTTTTTTTAACTAACCCTGCTTAGTGCCAAGAAACAATTTGAAAGCAGAAGCAGTTTTTTGAGTTGCCTTGAGCCAATGTTGGTCATCCAGAAAAAGAAAATTTAAAAAGTGCAAATTTAAAAAGTGCAAATCCACAGCCATCTTCAAAACTGGGACAAAGAGGAGAAGGAGGACTGCTTACAGTGCCAAAATAGGGTAGAGGGGCAAACCACAGTTGGCATTTGGGCCGTATTATGTCTGTACTTTGTTCTTGTGGGCTGCATTGCTAGCTATGAGCTGTTGGGCAAAAGGAGAAAGCTCATTTAAATTTAAACTCCTGGGGCATAATCCATGCAAAGGAAAGCAGTTCACATTCCATTAATTTTAACTTTCTTTAACATTTTTACATTTTCAGAAGTAAACATATCCATCACTTTTTTAATATTAGGCTGGGACATTCCTATACATACAATATTACCACAAAGACACAGACATGTACAGTGGTGCCCCGTTCCGGATTAACCTTGGATATGTGAAAACTTTGCTAAACGGAACGGGGAAGCTCATTAAACATTGTTTAATGCGTTCCAAATGGGCACAAAACTCACCGTTTAGCAAAGTTTCCAGGGTCTGGCAGCCATTTTTGCGCCCTCGGTAAGCGAGGGGAGGGTGCAAAAACGCGTGCGGCCATTTTGGGGCGTCCGGCGGCCATTTTGAAACTGCCAAACAGCTGATCTGCGGGCGTCGCAAAGCGAAGATCAGTAAGCGAAATGCTTACCGATCTTCGCTGTGCGAGTTTTGCCCATTGGGGCCGACGCTATGCCTCCGCATTAGCGATCCCGAAAACGGGATCGCTATGCAGATTCGTCGTTATACGGTGCGCTCGTTAAGCGAGGCACCACTGTATGTATACAGTGGTGCCCCGCATAGTGAGGTTAATCCGTTCCGGATTAACCTTCGCTATGCTGAAGCATCGTTGAACAGGGCAGGGAATTCCATTGGAACGCATTAAACATGGTTTAATGCATTCCAAATGGGCCGAATACTCACCGTTCAGCGATGCTTCTTAATGGCCGGCAGCCATTTTCGCGCCTTCGCCTCGCTTAACGAGGGCACGAAAACGCTGCGCGTGGCCATTTTGGGTTAAGCGAAGGACCACTGTACAAGTATGCACATAGACCTTCTCCCTCAACATAAATTGCTTCCTTTCCTAACTGGGAAAGAGGAATCTTCTGCATCAGGATAGCCGAGGGTGGAGCTTGTGATGGGATTAAGGTGAAATTAAATGGCTCCTCCTACCCCACTAGTTCTCTTCATGATTGTTGTTTCACTGCTAAAAGCATTGCAACTGCAGTTGTTCTTGCCACCTACCTAATTAGCTGGGCAATGGGGGAAATAGAATCAGGTTTATTGTAGGATGCCCTCCTGTTATCTACAAAGAAGTTCTGAAGAAGGAAACATTAGGAAAATATTAAATGAAACCAAAGAGGATTTAATAGGAAAATTAAGTACACTTTCCTGTTTAAGTCAATGCAACTTCACTTGCTTTCTTTTGCCCAGCTATGTTTTAATGGTTTCTCTTCAGTTCAAATCTTTATAAATATTTTATAAAGAATTTTGCTTTGTTCTCTGAAATTTGGTTCCAAGTTAATTTAATACATTACCATGAAAATAATGGCTGGAATCCAGTGTTAAACTGGAACTAGAATAGGCCCATTGAATTAGTAGATGTTAGGAGAGTTAACTTCACTGTATCTTCCATTGCTTTAATGGGCCTATTCTAGTATGCACGTACAGTGGTGCCCCGCTTGACGATTACCTTGGTAGATGAGGAAATCGCTTAACAATGAGTATTTAGCGATCGCAAAACGATGTTTTAATAGGAAAAAATCACTTGATGATCGTTTTTGGGAACCAATTTTTTGCTTTACGACGATCAAAACACCTGATTGTCAGGTTTTAAAATGGCCACCCGCTGTGTTTAGGAAGGCTTTTTCGCTTTACAGGCACCGGAAAAGAGCCGCCCTATGGAGGATCTTCGCTGGACACTGAGGTATTTCACCCATTGGAATGCATTGCACTGGTTTTCAGTGCATTTCAATGGGTTTTTTACTTTCGCTTGACGACGATTTCGTTCTACAGCGATTTTGCTGGAACGGATAATCCTCGTCAAGCGAGGCACCACTGTATTACTGAATTTCAGCCACTGGGTCATTGTCTGATTATTGATTTATGTTTTGTTTTGGTTTTTCTTTTAGATGTACTTGCTCCTCAATATCCCTGGCAGTCAAATGATATGTCAATCAACATGCTACCTCCAAATCACAGCAATGACTTTATGCTAGAACCTCCAGGACATAATAAAGAGAATGAAGATGATGTAGAGGTTATGTCAACAGATTCCTCAAGTAGCAGTAGTGACTCAGATTAGGGACTACAACTGATTGTATTTACTTTAGTGCTGATAAAGCTTATAAACAATTAAATGTGTATGCGTCTGCTCTAAGCATAACTAATTCTGAATTCAACACAGTTGGCAAGAGGGCTGGAGGTTACTGAGCTCATTTCCATTAGCTGTGACACAATGTATTTCAATTTACCTTTATTGATAAAATAAAATCTGGGGAAAATGTAATGAGTACCATTGGAAGTTGCGAATCATGGTTTTGCTTCAAAGTGGCCAATAGCCACACTGCCTTCCAACTGTCCAGAGCACATATTTTGAGAGGCTTGGGGGAAGAAGTAACAGAACATGCCATCAACACTTTTTCCCCTTATGGAATCTCCAAATCCAATTTGCTGTCAGTCGTATTAACACAGAAAATGAGAGTTGATGTATAGACATACTTGTTTTTTACTTAATATTTGTGATTTGTTTCCAACTCATTAGATTGCATATAGTTTCTACAGAACATGGTAATAAACTCATTTTGTAATATAAATTGTCTTTATATTGTGCAGTCTGAGGACATTAGTTACATATGGATGTCATGAGAAACTAGAATTCTGTAGAATTCTGGCTTGTTTCAGAAATGCCATTGTCTTAGTGGATACTGACTGATCATGGCTGCTTCAAACAGTGGCTTGTTTAGCAAAATGATCAAATGTGACAGGAGCCTGTATTCTGGTTTCTTTTTACGTCAACATGCCAGAGAAAGGCAGTTCTTGACTTGTTTCTTTGGCTTGTTGGGGAAGAAACAACCCTGAGCACCACCTTTTTTCTGGTTTCAAACATGATGCAAACCACTTCGTTCACCCACTGCTACTATAAGAGATTATTGGGTAGCATGCATCAGCACCATTACTCATGAATAGAGGAATCCTGGTTAGTTTTGACAAAATCTGTGTATATGTTCAGTAAGATCACTAACCAGAAAGGGACTGACTGGTTGATTGGGTAGGAGGAATGGCGAATGGCCTCCTTGCAACAGGAAGTAGGATCCCATTATGCTTAAATGAGGCAATAGTAAGATCATTGTTTTAAAAAAAACCCTCTTTGGACCCCACAACACTGAATACATACCGACCAGTATCTAATATCCCATTCTTGGGGAAGGTACCAGAGTGGGTTGTGGCCCCTCAGCTTGAGGTTCCTGGATAAAACAGCATCTAGATCCATTTCCGTCTGTCTTCAGGCCTGGTTATGAGGCAGAGATGGCTTAGGTCGCCTTGGTAGATGATCTACGACAGGAACTGGATAGGGGATCTGTGTTCTTGTTGGTTTCACTAGACCTCACAGCAGCTTTTGATGTTATCAACCACAGTGTCCTGCCCATTTCTTTGGAATGGGACTCGGGGGCACTGTTTTACTCCAGTCCTTCCTGGAGGGGAGAACTCAGAAGTTTGTGCTGGAAGACTCCTATTCAAAACCCTGACCATTGACCTGTGAAGTTCCTTAGGGTTCTGTTTTGTCTCTTATTTTATTTAACATCCACATGAAACCACTGGGAGAGATTATCCAGAGTTTTGGAAATTGGTGTCACCACTATGTGGATGACACCCAACTCTACTTCTTGCCACCTAAATGTGAGGAAGCTACTTCAGCTCTTAATTAATGTTTGGTATCAAACTGCAGCCCCTTCATGGATTGCTGCCTTGTGGCAGAAAGTGAGGGGGACTTAAAGAATTTCTTAATGAGGGTGAAAGAGGAGAGTGCAAAAAATGGTCTGAAGCTCAACAAAAAAAAAAAAAAAAAAAGATCATGGCCACTGGTCCCATCACCTGGCAAATAGAAGGGGAAGATATGGAGGCAGTGACAGATTTTACCTTCTTGGGCTCCATGTTCACTGCAGATGGAGACAGCAGCCACGAAATTAAAAGACACCTGCTTCTTGAGAGGAAAATGATGACAAACTTAGATAGCATCTTAAAAAGCAGAGACATCACTTTGCTGACAAAGGTATGCATAGTCAAATCTATGGTTTTTCCAGTAGTGCTGTATGGAAGCAAGGCCTGGACCATAAAGAAGGCTGACCTCCGAAATATTGATGCTTTGTGGTGCTGGAGAGTCCCCTGGACTGCAAAGAGAACATCCATTTTGAAGGAGATCAACCCCGAGTGCTCACTGGAAGGACGGATCCTGAAGCTGAGGCTCTAATACTTTGGCCATCTGATGAGAAGAAAAGACTCCTTGGAAAGGACTCTGATGTTGGGAAAGTGTGAAGGCAAGAGGAGAAGGGGATGACAGAAGACGAGATGGCTCAACAGTGTCACTGAAGCTATCAACATGAATTTGACCCAACTCCAGGAGGCAGTGGAAGACAGGAGGGCCTGGCATGCTCTGGTCCATGCGGTCACGAAGAGTCGGACGCCCCATGGACTACAGCACGCCAGGCAACAACAAATCAGTAATGGACTGGATGAGGGTAAATAAATTAGAGCTTAATCCAAACAAGATAGAGATGCTTCTCGTCAGTCGAAAGGCAGATCAAGGAATAGGGATGCAGCCTGTGCTGGATGGGGTTACACATCTGCTGAAAACACAGGTGTACAGTTGGGGGTGCTCCTGAATTCTTCCCTAATTCTCCTTGGCAATGGCCAGGAGTATATTTGACAATTAAAATAAGTGTGCTAGCTATGTCCATTTCTTGAGAGATCTGATCTGGCTGCTGTGATACACGCCCATGTTACTTCTTGGTTAGATTACTGTAATGTGCTCTGTGTGGGGCTGCCTATGGAAACTGTTAGGAAACTTCAGTGGGTCCAAAATGAAGCAGCGAGACTGTTAACTGGGGCTGGTTACAGGGATCACATAACCTCCCTGTTACAGCAGCTCCACTAGTTGCCAGTCAGTTACTGCGCACAATTCAAAGTGCTGGTTTTAACCTATTGGCCTGGGTCCAAGCTATCTCCTATTATGAGCCAGCTCAGGTGTCATTAGGATAAGTGTTTCTCTCAGTCCCACCACTTTCACAGGTATGTCTGATGGGGACACAGGAGAGGGCCTTCTCTGTTGCTGCTCCCAGACTTTGAACTCTCTCCCACAGGAGGCTAGACTGGCCCCAACTTTGCAATCCTTTTGCAAGCAGGCAAAGACCTTTCTCTTCAGGCAAATCTTCCCTTTGTAACTAGCTATCTGTGTGTGATTGCCAAGCATTACTTATTTGAATGGATTTTTAGTACTATTTGTGTTTTCCATTTTTCAGAATGGCATTTTTCAAAAAAATAATTGTATACAGTGGTGCCCTGCATAGCGACAATAATCCGTGCCAAAAAAATTGTCGCTGTACGGATTCGTCGCTATGCGGGGCAAAAAAGCCCATAGGAACGCATTAAAACACGTTTAATGCATTCCTATGGGGAAAAACCCACCTTTAAGCGAAGATCCTCCATCCGGCCGCCATTTTTGCTGCCCGGTAAGCGCAAAAACACTGCGGGCGCCCATTTTTTCCCCGGTGGCCATTTTGGAACCATTGATCAGCTGTTCTTAAAACATCGCTATGCAAAAATCAGTAAGCGAAATGCTTTTGCAATCGCAAAAAAGCCATCGCTATGCGGATTCATCATTACACAAATCGCTCATTATGCGGGGCACCACTGTACTTATTTATCTTTGCCTTAATGTTGCCTATTAATGATGTAAAATGCCTCTTTATTCATTGTTTTTAGTTTTAAACATTGTCTTTTAAGGATGTCCACCTCCATTGCACACTCATTGCTTTCAACTTTAAATATGGTCTTTCATTGTAAGTTACTTTGGGTGCTTTTCAAGGAGAAAGGTGAAGTAAAAATATTTTCAATAAATTAAATGAGAAAAATGCATAATTTCTGCATGGTCAGAACTTCTCTCACTCTCAGAAGCTGAGGGAAGCAGGAAGATTATAGTTTGTAGTGATTTGTCTTCTATTAGATGCTCTTTTAGTGCTAACTGGCTTCTAACAATAAATAATCTTAAGGAAAATGTATACTCTGGACATTTTCAGGAGCCTGAAATCATAGGCATCCTTCAGTCTCGAGAGACTATGGTAACGTGCTCTGTATGAAGGACTTAGACGCTGTATGCGAAGCTGGAGTGTCCTCTCCAGAGCACGAAGCCTGGAAAAAATAATATGGAGGACAGGCGGTTACCTAAGCAGCAAATCCCCTCTCTCCACATTGCTGAAATAGTCCAATGGAAAGGCAAGAGCCAATACAACTGGTTCCAGCGACGTTGCAGGAGTTGCCAGAACGACACAAACTGCCTCCGGGACTCCGGCTCTGGATTATGCCTTGAGGTGAACTCCTGAAGCCTTTTCCATAAGTGGATATAGGCACAAGGCAGTGGAGGTTTGAAATCGGAGTTTTCCTTCTCCTAGATGGGCTACCTTCCCAGACGGACGAGTCCCACCTACCTGGCCTGCTCCCTCGCCGCATGGGTAATGGCAGCACCTCCTTCTCACAGCATGTGCATTTGGGATCAGAGTTTTCCTTCTCCTAGATGGGCTGCCTTCCCAGGCTGATGGGTACCACATACCTGGCTCCCTATCAATAGCTTAAATGAAAAAATAAGGAATTAAGATTTTCAGCAGCATATTTAAAGAAAATGGGTAGTTGATAATTAGGACAAGGGGGCCTTGAAGCTTTTTAGAATAAAGTTATTTTTAAGCTCCTATCCATTCCTCTAGGATCCTCACTCAAGACCTCCTGAGTTCCCACCTGACACTCTATCCACTATGACACCATAGCTGTTCACAGGTTGTGAAGCCGGCTAAGAAAGCTTCTAAACCTAAGGCTAAGAAGCAAGTGGCGGGAAAGAAGGCTTCGTCTGAGTCTTCAGCTCCCTCGACCTCGTAGCAGAAGATAGCCCAACAGTCGAAGACAAAGGCTAAAGAGATTACTTTGGTAGTCCCACCGGTCTCTGCGTCTCTGCCTTCTCCGCTCTTGGAGGACTCGTCTCGGGACTGAGACTCGACATCCGACCTTGGAACCTCCCTTCCACCTCGGCAGGAGCCGCCTGTGGATGTGGGAAGGTCTCCTATGGCTAGCCAGCTTGGTCAAATCATTTCAGGCTTAGCGAACACCCCTTCTAGCCCAATTCTGACTGGGCGGGCAACTCAATCCCCATCTGTCACCTCGGGATCGCTTCCCTCCAGGTCTCCTCCTGCTCCTTGAGGTCGACCTGTGAAGGCAGTCGAGGGCCCTGCCCCTCGACGTCCACTGTCGGATCGTGATGAAGACGAACCGCCAGCGAAAAAGCGTCGTCACCGCCACAAGCATAAGCATGGGCATCGACGCCAAAGGGATTCCTCCCTTACCGACTCCAACTATAGTCGTGAGCGCAAGAGATCCCACCATCGACGCAGAAGGAGGGACTATTCAACAGAGTCCTCTTCGACGTTGAGGGATAGAAGACTAAGAAGGAAGAGGTCCCGTTACTCTTATTCCTCTTCCTCTCGATCCCGATCCTCACCTAGGAGTCCTCCATCGAGGAGACCTCTCAACGCCGATCCCCATAAGGCTCCTG